GCGTTGGCGGAATTTGTTATCTAAGAAGATGCTATTTTCAATTCATTTTTCCCAAGCTCACAGGCGTTGTAGGGTTTTGATCATTAGTTGTTTTTGTACCTAAATAGTTGTATTGACATATGCATTTACTGAGAATTTAGTTTTTCAAATTTAATTTGTTTAAAATTGACTGAAAAAATGTTAATATTTATTAAATTGTTAAGATAGGTAATTATTATAAAATAAAATAGTAACCTCTTTACTTTAGTTTTCTTCGAATTTAAAAAAAAATCGTTGTTGTAAGTTGATTAGAAGCTGAGATAATTTTTTTTATTTATTTAATCGCAGTGACCTTAATTATTAATATTAAGAGCCGAAATTTGGAGAGAGTATACATTAAGAGCTATATTTTCATGTCCTACATTAACATTAAGGTGAATTCAACTATTTAATTTCGAAAAAGAAGATAGCGGCGATGCGTTCTATTACTTGGTCTAGCGAACGAGTGGGGAAGGCGAGGCTTAGCATGCGCGCTTAACGATGTAATAAATATTAACATTTTTTCAGTCATTTTTAAACAAATTAAATTTGAAAAATTAAATTATCAGTAAATGCATATGTCAATACAACTATTTAGGTACAAAAACAACTAATGATCGAAACCCTACAACGCCTGTGAGCTTGGGAAAAATGAATTGAAAATAGCATCTTCTTAGATAACAAATTCCGCCAACGCCAAGCTAATGAAGTTTTTGGGCTGAAATTTTTACCACTTATTAAGGGTGCAAAAAGCTTCAAAAATCCTGAATTACAAGTGTCTGCGATGAAAATTGCATTAATTATTAGCAATTGAAAAAAGCGGACAATTTCGACCATTTTTGAGCTCTTGCGCATAAACAAATTATCGGAATTTAATCGGACTTGTCTTATTTTACAGATTTATTTAATACCTACCTTTTTTTTATAAACCTTATTTTCTCTATGAATAACAGTTTTTTTACGCCGGTTGAAAGAAACGCGGAATTTCATACTTGGAAAATAGATTTTATTAAATAAAAAGTTGATAAAGTTTTTACATGTTTTTAAAAGGTAGACATTATTGCCATTAAATATGAAAAAGAATTTCGAACAGATGTCCTTCGCGACTCATTTGGCATACCCGACTTCTTCTAAGAAAATTCTGGATCACGTTTTCGCGTACCTTATAGCTGAATTTCGTTGATAACTACGAATTTCTACTTCTAATTCAGGAATTGTATTCATTTGAACAGAATCAACTTTGGACTTTACAAAATCCCCACAGCAAAAGGTCGCATGACGTAAGATCGTGTGATCTTGGTGGCCAAGTCACTTCATTGTTACTTGAGATGAGTCGTTCATTAAAATTCTGCCGTAACAAGTGGATAATTTCAAGTGCCGTATGGCAGGTGGCACCATCCTGCTGGAACTACAGGTCAACAAAATCTATGCCATCCAAATGAGGCCACAAAAAGTTCAATAGTATACCTTGTTATCGTTCTCCATTGACAATCAGTGCGTTTCCAGCCTGTCACTCTTTGAGTTTACAGTGGCCGTTCTTGAATGACCCGAGGATTGTCTCTGCCCCAAATTCTACAGTTTTGCTTGTTCACAACCTCTAAGATGGTCGTCTGGTCAGGCTAGCTGAATCTTGAATGGGTGCAGATGAAGATCTTTTGATAAAACTCGCTGCATTGTGCCTTTTGAAATGTTTAATTGCAGTGACCGACGGAGTACTGGGGTTACGGTCATTTCCGTTACATTATCACTCACCATAGCAACATTTTCGGTTGAACAGCCAGTACGAGGCCGTCCTGTTTTTTATTGTCTGCAACCGAACCTGTTTATTCAAATTTGGCAACTAATCTTTTCACAATTGTTTAACATTCGGGGTGTTCCTTCTACCGAAAATTCCACGCAATTTGCGCACAGTCTCAGCTACACAATCTCCGTATTTGTAATGAATTTTCACAATCTTTACTCGCTCATGCATCGTATAGCGCCACATTTTGTCTACCTGCAACGTGTTTACTACGACATGTGATCCTGCACACAATCCTATCAGCTTTTACTTTTGGGACATCCTTTATATTCATTATCCGTATAGGAGTAAATTATGTACATCAATTGTATATCAAATTGTTATAGGTATAAGTTTGCTATACGATTTATCGAAAATATAACAGGTGGATAAAATTACGCAACAGAGTTATTTGGCAATTGCCTACGTTTGGTAGATAGATCTAAACTTCGTCTAAATTGGATTTTAAATAGTTAATTAATGAACAGATTTGGATCTATTCTATTTGGGAAAAAACTCGCCTATTCATAGTATTTCTATTCACATATTCAGTTATTTATTTTCTCTGTCTATTACATTTCAATTTGAGTATATATTGATTATCTGTGGTCTATGGTCATCATAGACCTAGTAAACTTTGCTCAGCCCTCCGAAAACGAATCACCCTGTATAAGTCAAATTATTTTTAACCTGCGATTCCATTGCGCGAGAATGATTCGCGAGTCGATGTTTCATTTACAAAGGCAAAATGTTTCGCGAATTAGGTATAAATTAGGTGAGCTGCCAGTTTTCGCGAGGCAAGCATGTCGTTCATATCTCCGACTTCAGCGCCAGCATTGGCGGTCATTGGCTTTATGTGGGGATTAAAAAGAAAAAAACCAAAGAAAACATCGATGGTGGACCAATAAAATATTTCGTTGGCGATTGCAAAGTGGAAACCAGCTTCTAAGGGATATTTTTCCTTCCAGGCTGTCCAGGTAGATCCATTTTTATGCTCATCTCTTTCCATGCATCCTCCCTTTTCCTTTTGTTATGATAAGCTTTTTCTTTCGCATCCTACAAAAATTAGTAGGTCTGATAAAGCTGGATCAGACGAATGTACTCGTCTTGATTCATTGTGCGTTTGTACGACGCGAAACTAACACAGCGAAACACTTTGATTCACTCTCAAAAACCGACTGGCGATCCGCTCGCAGCGCAACATCCTCGCGCAAACGAATTTGTGGCGCGCAACAGGTTTTCACGACGCGAATCTAGTTTCGCGAAACAGTTGCGCGAGTCAATTTCGCGCAATGAAATCGCTTAGAATGTGTATTTCTCGCCTCCCCACTCGAACCTATTTTGAAATATTTTTCCTCAATTATATTCTAGTGATAAATCAACTTTGCCACAACGTTCACCTTGTATAATAAAATATCTTTGACTTTAAATTTCTAATTATTACATTCCTCCGTTAATACCTCCAATCTGTACAGAAATTCCATATAAACAAATAGTGCTTATGCTTTCATTCATTAATAATAATTAAAATTACTGGTGCAAATATGTAGGTATTGTTAATAGAAGATAAATCGAATTTAATTCAGTTTGAGCTAAGATAAAGAATTCTTAATACCACAAGTGTAGTTTTACTCATAGAATTAATATATCTACACTTTTTTAATGGAATTTTTTTTTCTTCTAATCCCTATATTATTTTTTAAAGTCTCTGTAGATCAGAAATTCGTCGGCTGTCTCTTCCGCCATTCATCTGAGTATAATTAAAAACCTAATCCATAATTTTTGAAAATTTTTAACTTAACCATACTTTCAGTGTAGCCACCTTAGAGCATATACTACTGGAGGCAGCGTCTCAGTGGCCGAAAGTGTAGCGGAGGTTTAGAGAGAGAGAGAGCGGCAACAAGGGTATTTGCTATCTCTCTCTAACAGCATGTTGCAAGTTGCATGTTGTTAGAAAGAGATAGCATATCTCCTATACCCCTCTCTCTGTAAACCTCCGCTACACTTTCGGCCACTGGGGCGCTGCCTCCAGTAGTATATGCTCTAAGGTTGCCACCATACATAAATGTAGTTAAAATCATTTTAACTTAAAACAGGAATACGGCCCAACAGAAAAACGGGGTAAGTAATCGAGTATAGCTAGCTGATTGGTTGAATTAAATGTAGCGCGCTACAGCCGAAGTTCTGTGAACGAAGCATAAGCCCGCATTAGCTCTATCTCTCTCGCACACGTCTGTGCGATTGCCGTTTATACAGGGGGTAACGTAAAGGTTGGGAATAAATTAAACGGTGGATTCTTTACTTTAAAAAATAAATTTTTGTCATATGAAGTTATGCTCTACGGGTTTTCTTTTTCAAGCTACAGGGCGCTAAAAAATTTCAAAAGATTTAGTTTTTCTCCAATAACTTTCGAACATTAGAAGATAATGGAATGAAATTTCATTCATAGCCTAATTTGATAATCGCCTAGTAACAGAAAAAAGATTGGCTTTGTAAGTTACTCAGTGGCGTGTGTACGTATTACACCGTAAGGTTTTTCGAAGATTTCCATTTTTCAATGGGAAAAAATGGTATTTACAACACGTTTATTTACGGAAAAGTGATGAGAGCTAGGAATAAAACGCAAGAGGGTAATTTTGTTTAAAATAAAAAGTGGATCATAAAAAATTTTTTAAAAAATGTTACCACCAGGGGCTTACCACAATTTTCTTCGAAAAACCTTACGCTATAGTTCGTATGCACGCCACTGAGTAACTTACAAAGCCATTCTTTTTTCATTTACTAGGGGATTATCATATTAAGCTTTGGATAAAATTTCATTCCATTATCTTCTAATGTTCGAAAGTTATTGGAGAAAACCTAAATTTTTTTAAATTTTTTAGCGCCCTGTAGCTTGGAAAAGAAAACCCGTAGAGCGTAACTTCATGTGACAAAATATTATTTTTTAAACTAAAGAATCCACTGTTTAATTTATTCCCAACCTTTACGTTACACCCTGTATAGGCAAAATAATAGTTGGGCGGGTCCAGTAGTTTATAAAGTCGATGGTGGTTATCATAGACCTATATATAGGTCTAGGTAGTTTATACAGTCTATGGCATGGCATAGATTAAATACACAACACAAAGTCTATGGTGGTCATTAGTCTGCTGTGTTCTGTTCTGTGTTATTGAAAAAAATAAATACTCAAATCTTTTAGCCTATGCATTTGCACGTTACATTTAATTTTTGACTATTTAAACATTGCAATGTGATTTCCAGTATTATAGTTACAATACTTTATACTAAACAGCATAATATTCTGTTTTTTCATGTGATTTAGTATAATTTTTGTCAGTTTCTGTTTAGAAATTGGGTGCCTATCTGATATCTGTTTATGTGGGTGTGTCTCCTTATTACCTTAAGCTGTTCAAAATAACATAAACATGGTATCAGTTTTACAAAAGTTTGGATTACCCCTTTTTATAATTTTAATATCCTTCCGTAAGTTCAAATATCTGTTTGGTAACATGATATAAATTTTTTCAATTCACTTACTGCATTTTAAAAATTTTTTTAATTTCAGTTACAAAATGTTCAGCATACAATTGTTCAGTGCCTTTAATTGTGAGAGGAGCCTGGTTTTCCTGGGAAAATGGAAGAAATACACTTACTGAATTAGATGCAACTACTATGACTCGAAGGGGTGTTTGTGTAGCAATGAAACATGATTTCCACGTGAATTATACTATGGTATTCAAAAGAGATTCATGTTTCACTTGTATCAAATTTGTTGTAAGGACAGTAAATATCTTGGACAAAATGGAAAGTAAGTAACAACGATGAGTCAGTCGATGAGTCACAGAATAATTAATTTTTAAATGTTCTAAGATTGTATTAATTTTTAGCTAGTTGCATTAATCTACCTGAAAGTGAGGCTACAGTGGAGAATGTTTGCAGAGTATTAGATTCGCATCAACAACTAATAACATTATTTTCTGAAAATTATGTACCAGTCAATTGTCGATCTTCTTTAGAAGGTGTGTGGAATTTTGCATACCAAAATCGATTTAAATTTACTGGCGAATGTCGACATCCAGATGCACAAATTCGTTCTTGCCAAACTGCAGGATCCCAGTTTCTTATCACTAATCAAAAATTTAATATCACTTATAAAAAATGTGAGGGAATGACTGGAACTTTTGATGGAGGTAGGTTATGAATTTGCATATATTTTACATATTTGACAAATTTTGTTTTAGTTGTCGAATATAGTTGTTTGGGAGATTGGTTTGTTGGCAAGAACCACTACTTTGCAGTGGCCAATACGAAGGAATCTCGTAAAGATGAAAAATATAGATGCTTTCTTAAAAATAGAGATGACGACTTATACATCGGTGTTTCAATAACTGCCGAGTGCAACACTTTGAAAACTGTTGAGAAAAGTCCTGAAAGATTACGCATAACTCCGGGTAAGTTACACAATAATTAGTTTTATTGAAAGTTGAATGTATAGTACCGGCAGTTTTTGAAATTTTTCTATATTGCTGCAGGGTTCCATTTTTCTCGAAGTATTTTAATTTCTTTTTTCCATTGCATTTTTCCAACATTAAACTTTTCCACAAGTTTTAGGACACTTCAATTATGTTGCTTGCCATAAAACCATTAGTTAATTTCAAGTTGTTTGTGTGATTTAGGGAAACATTAGGTAGTAGGTATATAAATTAAAGTATAATTTTTATGTTAGTGAAATCGGAAGTTGTGGAACCCGGATGTCGCTTGCCACAAAATTTTACAGGACAATGGATCAACACTGCAAACATAGATGCTGACATTTTTATAAATGAAACTCACATTATTGAAACGTGGTATCCTGACGAAGGTCGGTACAGGAGAACAATTTATGTTTGCCGAGAACAAAGAGATTCGCGGGTTATGATGGCACGATTAACTGTAGATGGATGGTAAGTATAGAACGGTTTTTAATTGTGATGCATACAAATTGCTATTGTTATACAAGTGTGCAGTTTGACATAAGCGAAATTTTTCAGTCAAAAAGATTACATCTGCTTTGATTTTGTACCTCAACACCACAACGTTATTCGGTACAGAAGGGGCATAGCAGTGATCAAAGATGATTTCAGTACAGTATGTTCTTGGGTCCAGTTCCAAAATCAGGCAAAGTGGAAGTATGACCTGTATTTGAAAAAAAATCCTGTTCCCATTAGGTGTCCGGTAGCAGGAAAGTTTAATTTTACTCAAAAGGGAGACGTTCCGTTTGTTACTCGGTATTATATTTTACACACACTGTAATTCTAAGGTTTTAATGGGTTTTAATTTTAGTATCATTGGTGGAGTTACCGACAGCCCTCGTCCTAATATTTACTGCAAACAGAACATTTCCGATTTTTCGGTGTGCGATTCCGAACAAAAGGAAATTGCTATTGATGAGAACTATTGCCTTTCAGTTGATCATCTTGGAAGACCTGTTGATATTTACAGTAAGTACAATTTTCTAAAAAGATTCTAGGAAGGAGTGGTGGTTGAATTTGGACGATATTTTGGGGGTAATCACATTCCAAAAAATATACAGATATTACAGAAATCCCGTGATTTGGGGGGATTGTCCTGCAATCACTACGATTGCCAGCAATAGCTTTAAATGATTTTTTTGTTGCAATTTCTATCTATTTCATATCACATACCCCACATCTAAATCGAATAGTTTTTGAGGTTCTACAAGAATACGAACATCATCTCAGGTATAGTCAAGAAGTCGATGGACGTCAATTTGAACAAATGCTGAAATAATTTTTTGCATAAAATTGAATTGATATGTTTATTAAAAATTAATCGTAATAGATAAAGACAAATTTTATTTTATTGCAACAAAACTATGATTTTCTGAAAAATAGTAAGTTTAGATATACGGTACTCGAAACATAATAAAAAATTTGCATTGCAACTAAAAAAAAATAGGCTTTCCATTTAGAAAAATTAAGTTTGATTGAACCACCACATACATGAAATTTAATGTAAAAATCCGTTATTGTACTAAAAAAAATGGTGGATCCAAGACTTCCAAGAAAAAAAAATTGCATTTGAAGTGAAATTATTCCAACCTTTACTTGCTTATTTTATATACAGTGTGTTCAAATGTAATCCGAGACAATTTAACATTGTTCCGCATCTGACCAGGGGAAGGTAAGGAAGTCGGATTTTTGTAATTTTTGATATTTATGGTACGTGTAGTTTGCACCTTGAATAAGAATTTTCCGAAGTAGTTTGACGCAACGTTCTTAAATTTCCGAGATAATCGATTTTAAAGTTTTACCTAATAGCTAAATCCACGAGATGTGACACATTCTTCAACTGGGAGCGTGGCCTAATTGGTAGCATTTGGGATTGACAGTCACGAGACTGCTGGTTCGAGTCCGTTGCGTGACATTTTTTTATTTCTTTTCAAAACGCACTATCTGGTTTTTTATTATTTCTTTCATCTCAAAAATTATGAACAAACGAAATATTATAATAAATACTTATGTATATGTAGGAATATTCTTCAAATATTTCATTAAAATGCACAATTGGTTGATAAACAATATTTATTATGAATTAATAATAAAGTTTCTTTAAAAAAACAAACGAGGTCAGGTAGGTTTTTTATTTTATTTTTAGTATTTGACATTTTACACAGAGTGACATTAGCCAGAATGGTAGCTATCATAAAAAAATGGGAAGCAGAAATTTTTTAAGCATCTAGCTTCCTTTCTTTTTCTTTTTCTGATCTCGAAAATTATGAACAAACCAAATATTATGAGAACTGTATGTAGGAATATTCTTCAAGTGTTTAATTAACATTTTGAGCTAGGTTGTGTGGGTCGTCCACCGTGATTAAAAAAACCGCTTACAGAACACACCTGCTCGGGCATAAAAAGTTTCGGTAAATTTCACAAAGGGTAGAGAAGCATCGAAACTTTCTCTAACAATCTTTCAAAATGTTAACGAAATTTGCTTCGACGTCGATATTTTGAAAACAAAATGCACCTGTAAAAACAACATTTACACGACGTGCTAGATGCTTAAAAAATTTCTGCTTCCCACGTTTCTATGATAAAATCATTCTGGCTAATGTCACACTGCGTAAAATGTCAAATACTAAAAATAAAATAAAAAACCTATCTGACCTCGTTTGTTTTTTTAAAGAAACTTTATTATTAATTCATAATAAATATTGTTTATCAACCAATTGTGCATTTTAATGAAATATTTGAAGAATATTCCTACATATTCATAAGTATTTATTATAATATTTCGTTTGTTCATAATTTTCGAGATGAAAAAAATAATAAAAAACATATGGTGCGTTTAAAAAAAAAAAAATGACACGCCACGGACTCGAACCAGCGATATCGTGACTGTCAGGACTGAATGCTACCAATTAGGCTACGCTTCCAGTTGAAGAATGTGTCACATCTAGTGGATTTAGCTGTCAGGTAAAACTTCAAAATCAATTATCTCGGTAATTTACGAATGTTGCGTCGAACTACTTTGGAAAACTCGTATTCAAGGTCCAAACTACACGTACCATAAATATCAAAAATTACAAAAATCCGACTACCTTACCTTCTCCTTGTGAAACCTGAAAACTGCAAATTTCGTGAATTTATTCCATTAACTATAAAACCTTGAGTTTACTGAAATAGAAAAAAAAATTATTTTAGATTAATTATATAAAAAATGTGGGAAAACCATGAGAACTCGTGAGTGACTGAAAAGGTTTTTCAGTGTGACTTAAGGTTAGTCTGGGATCTCAATGACTTTTCAAGAATTTTTTTTGAATTGCACAATTTATTTGTAAGTCGCAACCTTTTTATACATTAAAATACATATTTTCTTACAAAAAATGTGTTTACATTTTTTTTATGACAAATCTCTGGTACAGCCGCCTGAAGTTAGCCCTGTTTTGTGGTGGCTGACATGATCTCTCAACTTTTGATCATCCGTAAACAAATATTCACATTAGTAAAAAGTAGACTTGTCTATATCGTCTGGACTTGTAATAAAAAAAATTAATAAAATGGCAAGCTTTCAAAATTTTCGACATCTTTTTTTTAACTTAAATTGTTTAAAAATGGTATTAAATATTAGTGAATAATTATAATGCCGCTTCAAACCATAACTATATATGTAGGTTTATAATAAACCTTGTGAATTTGAGCTTCATTTTTTTTTTTTCTAGAATGTCAGCCTGGTCGAAAAACATTGTTTCGAGGAAAACACGTTCAAAGTTCATATACCGTTTCTTCAATAAATAGTCTCCCTGTGTCAATTATGTCTTCTCTATATATTACACCTTCAGCTTCTTCAAAAGTATAGTCTTCTAATTTGACATTCATAAGGGCCACCCTGAGCTCCTTAGAAGTTTCTGTGCTGCGCATATCAGCAACTCCATGAATGACATGCTAGTTGAGCGCTCGGTGCATCCTTACTCTTGTCGCATTTTTTGACCTGTTCTCGATTTTCCAACCTAAATAATGGTTTCTACAACATTTTTTTACTATATTTACTACAAGAATCTGCAGTTTTTACGAAAATATATTTAAAAAAAAGAAATCCCAGATCTTGACCGTTTTTCACATTGATTTATTAATCAAAAGTGGGTTATAAATGCTAAAGGTTACTATACTTAATGGTTCAGAAAGACTGCTATCTGCAGCAAGGCAAAAAAGGGCCAGCATTTTGCCTTTTCCTTCCAGATTAGTGCACGTCTTTATATCATTTTTGGTCACCATTTGTGAATCACCATGTATAATCTACAGTTTTTTGTTAGTTATTAATTAATTGTAATTTAAATTTGAAGCCTTATGTTAATAATTATTCAGGCACTCATTTTGGTAATAAAATTAGGTGTGCACCACCTGCTTTCAATAAACCATATTAAATAAACGTCTGCTGAGAATCACAACCTGCACCGCAGTCATGGTTTAAGTTTTGATAATCGCAGACAAGGCTGTAGGATTTTAGGCATGATTGAGGGCAATTTCTGTGCGATTACAGTAATTACATAGGATTACGAACAATTTCCTGCACAAATGTACATGCATTGCAGAGAGTGGTTGTTTACACCCTTGATCTAAGCCTACATAAATTTCACATAAAAAACTTTGACATTTATTTTTATAAACTTATGCGTAATGAATTAAATTTTGGCTTCGGTGGTTTTTAGGCGATCCCGATTATAAAATGAAGTGTATTGGTTATTGGAAAGAAAATCTAAAATCCTATCTAGTTACTTACGATGAACTGGATCCTTTGTCCAAATATCATTGCTGGGTTTATCAGAGATCTGATTTAAATAGGGTTTTAATGTCGCAAGGTGAGTAGAATCACAAATAATAATTTTTTGGAACCAGTGAAATAAAAATTATACAATACCGAATTAAATTTTTGTAGCTATTGGATCGTTCTGCGATTTGAAACAAGATGTTACTTCGTGGAATTATACAGAGGGCGCAACTGTCTCTATCGAAATGCAGGAATACGAGAGGGAACGTAAGTGAATTTGATTTATATTCTATGTACCTAAAACTTTTTGATATATTCTTGATATGAACAATTTCAATTATTTTTTAACTTTTTCCAATTCAAGAATTTCTGAACTATTGTACAGGGTTTCTGAATTAATTGGACAAACTTATAATTTGAATTTGGGTGGTCAAAAAAAGTTACTTGACTGACTTCTACAAATAGTACTAATTTCAATTGTACTTCTATAGATACGAGTCCCTTTTTCCCAATACATAGAGTTTTGGTAATCATTGACTACATTGACTACATTCGATAGGATTTGTTAGAAAAATGTTTTTGAATTTAATTGAATTATTTCGGGATATTATGATAAAAAAATATACAATGTAAACTCTTCTTAACAAATCTTAAGGGACCGGGATTTTTTTTCATTATAAAGCGTTTTTCTTATATGTAGGAAGAAGGAAAAATAACCAAATTTCACCAATTACAATAATTTCCAATTTTATTATGTACTTTCAATAGGTAATTAAATTATTCTCAAACACATATATTCTGTTAACATTGCCAGACGTTTTTTGCTATGCCAATATTTGTTTTGTATTTTCTTAAGTATTTTTTGCATGTGGAACCATCTTCATGAAACAATAAGAATTTTTCGATGAGTTTGGCGGCATCAAGTGCTTGTTGAACCAACTGGTGATGGTTCAACAAGCACTTCGTCCACTTGTTCATCTTCATTATCTTCATTTGGTTCCTCTTTACTTTTTGACACTGAATCAATAATGTCTTCATCAGTGAGTGAAGCGGTTGTGGCCAGGTCCTGATCTATATTTTCATATGTTTGTAAATCTTCGCAGAAATGATTCGGTTGTATGCTGAACTGTTTAATCCAATCACTCAGTGGTAGATTGTCCTCAATACCAAACTGCTCTGTTTGACTGTTACATAGTCCCTTGTAACGAAAAGAATGCTGCATGGTTGCTGCTGTTACTTCTTTCCAGGCTTTCGATATGAAATTTACTGCATGTAGTATATTAATCGAGGTCTTGCCGTCAGTTTCGATCAGTTCCATCAACAATTTCCCCTTTCCCCAATTTAGTGACCCTTTAGACTTTTAATCACACTCTGATCCATCGGCTGCAAGATACTGGTTGTATTTGCTGGGAAAAATGCTAACTCTATGTTTCGAAGATTGGTTATAAAAGGGTGAGCAGGGCAGTTGTCTACTACAAGTAAGATTTTCTGTCCCTTTAATTCAGCATCCCATTTTCTAACTTCTTCAAAGAACTGCGGTGTCATCCAAGCTGACTTGTTTGCTTTATACAGAGTGTTCAAAAAGTTTGGAACCCCCTCCCCCCTCTATCTCAGAAAATACTGCTCAAACAAAAAAATACTTAGGACAAAAGTTGCAGGGTTTTGAGTGAGCAAGCCAATGGTGACCTTGAGCATGACCTTGACCATGAACACGAAGTCAAGTTGAAAATTTTAAATAGAACCGTATACTTTTGGCCCCGGAAATGGTAAGAGCAGAAAATTTTACGTTCGAATGTGACCATGGCCATAACCTTCAAGGTCATTTAAAGGTCAACCTGGAAATTTTAAATGGAACTGTATATTTTTGACCCTGGAAATGGAAAAAATGGAAATTTTTGCGTTCGGATATGACGTTGACCATGACCTTCAGGTCGTTCACAGGTTTACGGTTCCATTCAAAATTTTCAGGTTGACCTTTAATGTCTTTGAAGGTCATGGTCACATTTGAACTCTTAGTCACATTGGAACGTAAAAATTTCCGCTCTTATCATTCCCGTGGTCAAAAGCATACAGTTCCATTTAAAATTTTCAACTTGACCTCTAAATGACCTTCAAGGTCATGGTCAAGGTCACCGTTGGATTGCTCACTCAAAACCCTGCAACTTTTGTCCTAATCTAATCATTTAAAAGCTTCCTCTTTTCCGTGCCACTCATATTGGCAGCTACTAGAATGGTAATATGCTCTTTAGAGAGTTTTCCTCCCACACATTTTTGGCCTTTGAATTTAAAAGTTTTGTCAGGTGCCATCTTAAAAAAGTCCCATTTCATCAGCATTGAAAATGTCATTTTGTGAGTACTTATCCATTAATTTACGCCATACGTTATTAATCCAGTCGTTAGTCACATTCATATCGACATCTCGCGCCTCTCCATTCATTTTACCATAGGTAATGTTATGACGGTGCTTAAATTTTCCAAGCCAATCTTCTGATGCTTTAAAGTTAGTAATGCCTAGTCGTTCGGCAAACTTCTCAGCCTTGGCTTTAACAATTGGTCCCGAGATTGGTACATTATTCTGGCGCTGATTGTTAAACCACGACAACATTGCTTGATCTAAGTCTTCGAATTTTGGCTTCCTTAATTTTTTAGTAGACACTCCCTGCAGTTCTGCCTGTAGAATTGCTTCTTTGTTTTTCCAAATGGTAGCAACAGTAGATGGACTGGGACCTAAATGTCTTCCAACATCACTTTTCTTTTCTCCTTTTTCTATCGCACGTATCAAACAAACTTTTTGTTAACACATAATGCTTTTCTTTTACTGGCCACCTTGACAGTTTCAAAGTTGGTTTATGACTGATAATACACAATAGGTGCCTAGTGTGCTTAGTAACTGAGACCAAAATTTCCTAGAAACAATGTAATCCAAGTGTAATGGCACACGTGTTCGAGGCAATTAACAATAACAAAATCAAGGCAGTTGTTTACGACCTCAGGATATCTTTCTTAGAAATTTCGTCACCTCAAAGGTTTAGTCGGAACCTTTTCTAAGCTGATTATGAAAACAATTACACTATTAAATAGTTCTGTAAATATTTGCTGGTGTCTGAATATGAACATATTTCTTCGTAATAGAGAATGGCTGTTGCGCTATAAAGAGTGTATTAATGTATGAGTTTTGACATAAACCAACCAAATTGACCTAATTTCTATGTTATAGGAAGTTTTTCGTTATAACGAACGATGTTATAAACAGTTTACACTGTACCTGTTTTTGAAAATAAAATTTCTATGCCTTTGACTTTTTTAGAGTTTTCATGATTACATTATGTCTAAAATCAGTCGTAGAAAAAAAGGTCTCATGAATGTTTTTACAAAATGAGTAATTTAAACATTTTTTATTGGTTTATTGGCGAGTCCATTTTATAAATAAAATAGATAAAATATTTTTCCTTAGTAGTGACCATATATCCAAAACCAGCAAATTTGTATCTTTAATTAGACGAATCATTAGACCAAATTTCTAAACTCCGCAACACAGGTCTTTTTATAGTTTTTATAGTTTTTTTTTATTACTTTGACCATCTGAATTCAAATTTTAAATGTGACCAATTATCTCTGAATTACCCTGTATAAGTGATAAAATATTTAGCTATTGTTATTAAAAGTGGTAAAACATTTCATCGGCTTTTAGGCGATCAGTGTCCCATGCACTTTGATGATGGCACCAATCCATGGTTGGACACTGAAAATTCACTTCAAGTGTTCCACTTCGGTTATTACAGTGAAGGGTCAACTTTATTATTGAGGACTTCTATAAGAGTGGTCTTAATATCAGTTTTGGTCACTGTTTATTTCTTGTAATTCACATCAACATGTAGTTATATAAGGGTTAATTTGATGCAATTTTGCAAGTTACTGTTAGATATCTCTTTATAAGGTTGTTATCATGATTTTTTAATAAGCACTGAACATGTTGTACAAATGTGTTTACATTTTAGAGATATATTGACAGACATATCAAAATATTAAATAAGTACAGGGTATCCAAGAAAGGTTGGGACGTTACTGCAGTGTGAATATTTAAAAGTAGAATGGCAATTTATGAAAGTACTTTATTGAATAAGTTATAACAATATTTAAACTACAAAATGAAATATTCATTTATAATTTATTTTCATCTATGTGGCCAGCTGTAACTCTACTAACAGCCTGACAGTAATTTTTTCAACTAACGTTCCTCAATTTTATTCCAAGCCTCTTGCAAATGTTGCCATAAATTGGATCGAAAAGTCAAAGCACGTTTGCCATAGAATACTACAGAGCTGTGGTGTGTCCCTACGAAATTGAGGAACGTTAGTTGAAAAAATTACTCCAGAGAATGCCCAGAATCTGTCAGGCTGTCATCAGAGCTAAAGGTGGCCACATAGATGAAAATACATTATAAATTAATGTCTTGTTTAATAAATGACGATTCGTTTGTATTTTATAGTTTAAATGTTATAACTTATTCAATAAAGTATTTTCATAAATTGTCATTCTACTTTTAAATAGTTCCAGAATAAATTCAAAATTCCCGCTGCTTCCAAACTTTCTAATGGTAGTGTATATTATGAAACATTTTAGAAATTGTGTTCATATTAACTTTTTCTTATTTTGATGCATAGAATTGCTCCACCAAATATAAAAATTAAATCCTCAAACACCCTGTATTCAGTGTCGACGATATATCTGTTTTACTTATAATATCTAGCAGGCAGGGTTAGGAGATTAAAATTTCACAGTAGACAAAAATTATTTAGAAAATAATACTGTATATATTATTCTCTGATATTTTAAATAATACATTACACTCGAACAAACAAGCACTTTTAGAGTGATATTAAAAAACATTGCTTCATAATACCACATTCAACAACCATATCTTAATGCACACATTGACTTTTACATTTAGGTATGTTAGGTCTACATCATCTTTTTTGGGTCCAAGAAGTTTGTAGTTGGTATCGCAACTTTTCCTAGGACATCCTGTATATATATTTAATTATAAATTAGAAATGGGTCACAATGTTCTAATTCTATAGGAATTTTGAACTGAATATAGGAAAATTAGGAAATTTTCAGTACTAAAAACGTGAAGAATTTCATTGATTTTAGTAGATTCTAGCATCATTTTTTTAACAGTTTTTATTTACCAATTTTTGTCAATAGTTAAAAATATTGTAAAAGCTCTATGCCATGTTTAGATCAATTACAGATTTAAAAAGTATATTTCATTCAGTCAATATTTCTAAGTCGATACTACTGAAAATTACCTAATGTCCTTTTCCGTGTCAAATAATAGATCTGAACATATAGATTAATTGATCTGATTTATCAATGACAGCTTTTTTTGACAGAGTAAAATGACTAGTCCATTTGAAAATCTCTATCTATCTTTAAGTTTTATACTCTTTGTTAACAATACTTATTTTATTTAGTTGTAAAGCTAGCACCAAATGAAGATTACACTCCATGAAATTTTTACTGCACAGTGGTATTTCATTATATATTTTTTATATAACTGTTTTTAAGATATTTTTTAATGTGTCCGTCCATTTTGAAACTTTATAGTTTTTTTATATTTGATTAAATGTAAATTCTACACTTTCTACAGTTTCATTTATTTTCAACATTACCTAAAAAAAGAGGAGCTGGCGGATAAAATTGTTATATAACCTTTTTGGTGGATCTAGATTGATTGAAACTTGTTAAGTTTTTTTTTTTTTAGGGGTTTTGGTTGGCCTTTTTGGGGGGCTTGCGGTACGGGTGAGCCTATGCTTATACCCGGGGTTTTCTTTGCGTTCCCACCTTTCCTTAATTTATTTTGGGCAACTTAATTTTGTTTTTTTTGATTGAATTTTTTCCTTTTTTTGGTCGCATATATTTTTCGTGTTTAATGTGCGGCAAGTAATTTTTATTCGAATAAAAGTCTATTTATTCATTTAGAGCTTGTAAAATTATGGGTAAAATGTGGCAACATTGCACGTCAGTGTCGCGTAGTGGTAAAAGGTAAAAGGCGGGTCTACTGTCAACAGTGTCAACTACTGTCAATTGTGCTTATCGCGTATACCGTAAACATGAATGAGCATCCAAGATACAAAGGAAAAGTAATGACTGAAAAGCAATATAAAAGGCGTATGAAACAGAGGTAGAATGTGCAAACCAAGAATACATTTGATTACTGATTATTATCAAGAAGCTCAGTGTATGGTAGTGGGACATCACCTTTTCGAGTTGAAAGTTATGCTAGAACATCTGTACTGTTTATTTTGCAGAGATTGTTTCAATTTTTATTTCAAATTGCTATTATATTGTATTAGATCATGATAAATTTATTTAATATTAATTGTTGCTATATTTTCGACAGGAATAATTTTATAGTAATCGAGCTATTCAAATGTAGCTCATCAATCGAACAGTTAAATACAGAGTACAGGGTTGCCATATTTCTATTCATTGGATCGGATGTTTGTTAAAATTTGTAAATGTGTAAGTGCATATTTTTATTGTTTTTAATAATATTTAATTCTTTAATTACAATTTTATTTTCCTGATTCTAATCATTTTTGAGGGCAATATTCACGTTTGATGAAAAGTTTTTTCCCAATTCCCATAAGAGCCTGTGTACAGGGTGGTCCCGAGATAATGGGCCAAAATTCATGGGTAGATTCCCGAAGCAAAAATATTGCAATTTAACCGAACTTACCTTTGTACAAAAGTTGATAGTTAAAGAGATACAGAGTGTTAAATGTAAAATATTATTTTAGTTTATTTTCATTCATTTCTTAATAAATGCAAATATCTACACAACATTTTGGGATTTGGGATTCTTTGGATAGAGGAATTGAAATTTGTTCACATTTTGGTTATAGTTTATAGAGGGTGCCAGCTGCCGTAGATTGAAGTTGTTGGAAACGACATAACTTTTTTGTACTTCAAGGTATCTCATATTTGGTATCAAATTCTTATTTTCCAACTTTTTTTACACAAAAAAGGTATACTTTATGAAAGTAGCTGTCTCGCACCGTTTTTGAGATATTTGGCTTTGAAACTTCCAATGCTAATAGTTGAAATAATTAAAATAATTTAGAAATGTCAAAAACAAGGATTTATTTAGAATTAAAAATTGTAATGAGCAGTAAAATAGTAAACATTACTAAAAAATATGCCTTTTTGACAATAATTACTCAAAATGTCCACCTCTAGCTTCAATACATTTATCAATACGTTTATTAAAAAATTGTCTTACTTTAAAGTATAAATCCTGAATGCGAAATGACTTTGCAGCATTTAAAACCTGCTACTAAAGTTCTTTTCAAGTGTTTATAGTTTCTCCATAAACAACTGGTTTCATGTAACTCCAAAAACGAAGCATTCTATCTCACATTTATGTATACGAGTATACAATTTAATGTGTAAGCTAAGATGTAATTTTAATTAGATACGAATAATACTTAATAGAAATTAGCATACAAATGACAGCAATAAGACAAGTGGAAGACGTCAATTATTTGATTTTCGTCCAAATTCTACTTAAGAAACTTTACGNCCGATCCTAATCATTTTTAAGGGTAATATTCACATTTGATGAAAAGTTTTTTCCCAACTCCCATAAGAGCGTAATTTTTAATATCACTTCAAAAAAACTACGTTGACAATCGATCTGATATTTTTACAGAAGGCAGTTTGCATAATTATTAACAGATTTCAATTGCTTTGAAAACTTTCATATCATTTTTTTTTCGGTATTGAACCTCCTTAAAAAGGGTGCCCTGAAGTGACAGATAATTACAAGCCTGTAAATGTTTCATCTGAATTCAGTAAGGTGTTTGAGTATGCATTTTTGGATCAACTTCTGACTTTTCGTCAAGAGTGTGACATTTTAACTGACAATCAACATGGATTTTTAAAAGAATAATTCAACGTTCAGTTCTCTGTTTTTATGAAGAGCGTATTACGTGGGGGAATCATCAATTTTTTTTTTTCAAATATAAATATTTAATTTTTAACTCTATTGTCGATAGGCTAACCAGTGATGTATTTTCCATCGTTATTTATGACCTCTGTACTTCAACAAGTTTTTTGATATCTCTTCTGTATAGGTCCTCCAGTTTTGACCTTAAAAACTCATCCAACCAAACTCGTAACTTGTTAAAAGAATCACTTCGTAAGGAATTTGATAAAGAACAGAAAAGGTGAAAATCAGAAGTCACGAGATCGGGAGAGCAAGGTGGGTTGGGCAGAACTTCACAATTCGACTTCCGAAAGGCTGTTTTGGTCATACTGGCGATATGTGGTTACGCATTGTCATGTTACAAAGGCACATATCGTTGATCAGGTCCTTTTTGTCGGATAGCCATGTGGAGTCACCGTAGTTGTTGAATATAGAGTTCTGCATTGATGGCTTGATTGTTTGGTAACAGTTCGTAATAAATAATCCCTTTCCAATCCCTCCAGACGCATGATATTGTCTTTCGAGGATGAAGTTCTGGTCTTATTCATGGAGTTGCTTATTTTTTTTAGGCTTAACCATTCTTTCCGCTGTTTCTTATGACAACATGTTGATCAATGAGGACGGAGCAAACTAGTGGCAATTGCGGAGCATTAATTCTTATTGTTTTTGTTCAAAATATGTGGGACCCAAGCGCCATGTCTGAGCTTTTCCCATCGAATGCAGATGATTTACTATTGTTTTGTGATTACATCTCATCGTCTGAGCCAATTCCCTTGTTAATTATCTTGGATTTTCCTGAAGGAGTCGATTCATCAAATTGAGCAGGGCATCTATTCCTGTCTTTAAGATTGAAATCACCTTTAAAACCATCGACGGGCGGTTCGTTCATTAATCGCATCAACATATACAACACAACTCAGTCAAATGTGAGTCCATCTCAAATTATGATCTATGTATAAAAATGAATTATGATTCTGATGCTGAAAATACTCCAGTAATACAAAACAAGAAAATGTTATGATATGGAAATACTCCCAAGAGATTAGAAAAAAATTTACTAGTTAACAAAAAAGAAACAGTTTATACAGTAAGTAGCAATTTCTATATTAAAAATGTGTGACCATAGAAAAAATATAATATGCAATTTGCAGAAACGCTAATAATTTATCACTTGTTTGAATTTTTCTTTTCAAACTCAAGAAAGGACCTCACACTTTTCTTATGGGAAATGGGTATCGGCCAATTTTTTTGAAACTTTGCAGGTTGATAGTTCTTAACATGTAGATCAAAAGTCTCAATGGGCACAAAGCCCCAAATCCATCCCTACCCCCCCAAAACTGCCTCCAAGTAGCGGGGGCGATTTAACTGATTTCTGCATGTAAAACAATTTATTTTTTTTATCAACCCAACAATGACCCCAAACAACCACATATTTGATTAACAAACTGCCCCACTTGACTAAATCTAAAGAAAAGTTTGTATGTGATTTTTTATTTTTTTGAAAAAGTAATATTCAAGCTCTAAAACGCTGTTAAACTTAACACACGTGTATATCTACAGCTATCATACGTATACTCTGTGTTAAACTTTGGTGGCGTTTTAAGGCTAAAACATTGATTTTTCGAAAAAACAATAGTTTTTTTTAGATTTCATCGAAATAAACAACTTTTATTTGAAACTTTTTTTCATAAAATGACAAGTAAACTCCCCCCTACTTGGAGGCAGTTTTTGGGGAGGAAGGGGTGGATTTAGGGCTTTGTGCCCATTGAGACTTTTGATCTACATGTTAAGAACTATCAACTTGCGAAGTTTAAAAAAAATTGGCCGAAACCCAATTCCCATAAGAAAAGTGCGAGGTCCTTTGCACTTTTCAGCACTTGCAACATAATAATATACTATACTAAGACATTGCAGTCATTAATTGATTACATTGGTACACTATTTAGTATGTTTATTAATATACAAATATCAAATATTGATAAAACATACTTAAGGGGTTATACCACATTAGGGTTGATTTTCTGGCATTTTTCACGAATTATTTTGAGTGGACAAATTGATTATGATTTGATTAAACTTTGACATTATTTTATTAACATTTTGAACTACATTTTTAAGTTATTTGTGCTAAAAATGCCAAAATTATGGGCTTTGTCCACCGAAGGTCATCGTCCGAGTTGGTTGTTCACAGGAAATGTGGAGGTCGCAATTTTGATCTGACTCTGAAAGCAAAATGGTTGTTTTCCTGCACTATTAATATGTTTTCTCATTGCAGGTAATAATAGTGAAAATTAAATTTTGACAAGTGTTTGAAAAAAATTTATCAATTTTCAACATTTTTTTTTTCACTTATTTTGAATAAAAAACACCCTTAAAATTATGCCAAAATCATTTCAATTGTTGGTTAATGTTCTTTGTAATTTCATAAACATATTTTTCAATTTTCATAATGATCGGTTCATAACTTTTCGAACTAGAGTTCCCGTGAATTAAAAAAAATGTTTCGAGAAAGATGAGTTTAAAAAAATAATTTTCGAAGGTTAGCAATTTGAGCTATCGATAATATAGAGTGGTAACCGATCAATCAGTGATT